CTCCTCCATATACACCACGCCCCCCATGTGACAGGTAATCATGTGCATCCCTGTCCTGTGACTGTCACATGATGTCACCTGAGGAACGCGCCGCACCCGGCCAACCTGTCATCATCGCAATTCAGAGTCCATAATCCTCAGTAGGGAGGAAATGTCGGCGACTCCTCATCACTTCACAATGCTGCCCATTATATACCAGCACTGCACCCCATTATATAGTATATACCACTACTGCACCCCATTATATAGTATATAACAGCACTGCACCCCATTATATAGTATATACCAGCACTGCACCCCATTATATAGTATATACCAGCACTGCATCCCAGTACATAGTATATACCAGCACTGCACCCCAGTATATAGTATGCAGCACTGCACCCCAGTATATACAAGTACTGCACCCCATTATATAGTATATCCCAGTACATAATATACCAGCACTGCACATTCTATAAAATATACCTGGGGGGCATCCCCTATATAATGTACCTGTGCTACTCCCCTATATAATATACATTATATTTCCAAAAGTATTGGGCCCCTCCCCCTCCAAATCATTGGATTCAGGTGTTCCAATCACCTCCATGGCCACAGGTGTATACAATGAGGCACCTCGGCATGCAGACACTTCTACAGACATTGGGGAAAGAACGGGTCGCTCTCAGGAGCTCAGTGACTACAGGCGTGGTACCGTGATAGGTTGTCACCTGTGCAGTAAGTCCATCCGTGACATTTCCTGGCTACTAAATATTCCGCGGTCACCTGTTACTGGGATTATAACAAAGGGGAAGCAACTGGGAACAACAGCAACTCAGCCAGGAAGTGGTCGGCATGGCAGAGCGGGGTCAGCGCATGCTGAAGCGCACAGTGCGCAGAAGTCGCCAACTGTCTGCAGAGCCAATAGCTACCAACCTCCAAACTCCATGTGGCCTTCAGATTGGCACAACAACAGTGCGTAGAGAGCTTCATGGAATGGGTTTCCATGGCCGAGCAGCTGCATCCAAGCCGCACATCACCAAGTGCAATGCAAAGCGTGGGATGCCGTGGTGTAAAGCGCGCCGCCACTGGACTCTAGAGAAGGGGAGACTGGAGTGGCCAAACACGCTTCTCTGTCTGGCAATCCGATGGGCGTGTCTGGGTTTGGCGGTTGCCAGGAGAACGGTACTTGCCTGACTGCATTGTGACAAGTGTAAAGTTTGGTGTAGGGGGGATTATGGGGGGGGGTTGTCTTTTAGGGGTTGGGCTTGGCCCCTTAGTTCCAGTGAAGGGAACACTTAAGGCATCAGCATACCAAGACATTTTGGACAATTTCATGCTCCCAACTTTGTGGGAGGAGTTTGGGGATGGCCCCTTACTATTCCAACATGACTGCGCACCAGTGCACAAAGCAAGGTCCATAAAGACATGGATGGGGGAGTTTGGGGGGGAGGAACTTGACTGGCCTGCACAGAGTCCTGACCTCAACCCGATAGAACACCTTTGGGATGAATTAGAGCGCAGACTGCGAGCCCCTCCCCCAACATCAGTACCTGACCTCACAAATGGTCCAACATTCCCATAGACACACCCCTAAACGTTGTGGACGCCTTCCAAGAAGAGGCGGAGCTGTTATAGCGGCAAAGGGCGGAGCCAACCCAATACTGAACCCTACGGACTAAGACTGGGATGCCATTAAAGTTCATGTGCGTGTAAAGGCGTCCCAATACTTTTGGTAATATAGTGTATCTGCACTGCACCCCTATAAACCTGTACCTGCACCCCTATGTATCTTCACGGCAACCCCCCATGTAATATAACAGCACTGCACCCCTATATATTTATCCTGCAGGTCTTTGCATGTTTCTCCTCTACAGCTCTGTATTGATGTACCGTTATATACATCGCATCCATTATCATTGTTCCCGGTGATGGGATTTCCCGGTGTGTGGACAGAAGGGGTTAATGAGGGGGGTGACATGTGACACAGGCGGGAGGAGTCATGTGACCGCTGTCTCCCGCTCTATGATATGACAGCTCTTGGTTTGAGGGGCTCCGCAGCCCTCCCCAGAGACCCCCGACCGTCCATAACCGCCACCGGAGAACACCAGCACTGGGTGTGACCCCGAACTCCACCCCACAGTCCTAATGGACGGCGGGCAGAGCTCAATGTGACCGGGCTGTCAGCTGACTGTCACATGACCCACACCCAGTGGGCGGAGCCAGACAGGACATGACCGAGATACAATGTAACAACCCAGAGAGAGCGGAGAGCTGCTGCGGACATGACGCTGAGGAGGTGAGAGTGTGATACATTGTGACAGTGTGTATCCTGCATACTGTATATGTCTCCATCCTATATATACACACGCATGTCTCTCCCGGGAGCGGTGCATTCTGGGTGACATTGCGACGCATTGACTCGGTTTCATTTCTTTCCCCCCGCAGAATTGTGCTGCTGGTGGTCCTCGGCGTGGAGCTGGCGGTCGGAGGATGGGTCTACCTTGAGCCGGAGCAGAGTCTCAGGTAGGTGGTGTCATGTCGGATCTCTCCGGCACCCGCAGCACCCCACAAAGTCTGTATGGAGGAGTCAAGTCACAGTGGTCACCCCTCCCCCCTGCATGGGAGTCTCACTTCTGGTGAAGCACAAGTGGACTCTCAGTGTAAATTGTTGAAGACATTCCAGGTGCACCGAAAGAAGGTCCCTCGAATCAGAAAAGCCCCCTGCTGATTGGATAGGTCTGACTCTGACTCAGCAGGGGGGGTGTCTGACCTCTGTAGAGAGACCACTGCTTCCACACAGAGAGGATGCTGGCAGGTGACGGGCTTCTCTACTCTTTCTAAAGATGAACTGTAAGGCCTTTCTCACATGTATGCATCATAACGCACGCATTACAATGCCTCACAACGCATGTTACGTGGCATCCCAGTGATGCATGCGTTTTCATGTGCTGCAAATGCATGGTTACTGCCACCTACCCTCTTATAACAGGCCGTGTCCTCTACATAAAAATTACCCTCACACCTCCCTGAATGCTGAGCGCGTAACCTCCAGAGAATGCACAGTGAAAAACGCATGAGAATGGAGGCACATAGGTGTGCAGCAGTGGCGTGACTATAGCTGTAGCAGCTGTTATGGGGCCTGAGAGTGGAAGGGGGCCCCATTAGGACGTTGACGCTCACAGCTCACCCTGTAGTTATGGCCCTGGTATGAAGCTTGCCTAAAGCTGGCTGTACACACTGCAATCTGATTGGATCAGGGGATATGTCCTCTAAATCAAGACTGTGGGTCTCCCTTCAGTGGAGAGCTAACTGTTTGTGGCCAAATTGGAAGCAGTCTTGGACTGGTCATCAGACATGAAAAAGAGGTTTTCCTGTTAGTAAGGAGCAACAAGGAAAGAATTTCCATAACCAACGTTTCCAGAATAAAAAAGGGTTCAGGAAGCAAGCGTCTCTGCGTAAAATGGGGTTCAAGAAGCAAGCGTCTCTGCGTAAAATGGGGTTCAAGAAGCAAGCGTCTCTGCGTAAAATGGGGTTCAAGAAGCAAGAGTCTCGGTGTAAAATGGGGTTCAAGAAGGGAAAGGGCAAAGGATGATTGCTTTTCAACCCCTGTCCTCTCACCCCTAGAACCCAGTGACATGAATCTGCCTAAAGTGGGGAGACTGGGGGGGCATACCTCCCATAATGGCAAGAAGCATTCACAAACCTTTTCATTCTCAATTTGAGATCGTCAGGATTTTAAGTTCACTCATCAGCTCCCTCAAGAGTTCTGAACATGTCACCCTCTCTCGAGACCAGGAGACTGCGACCACTTATCTCTCTCCTGTAAGAACTCCTCACACAGATGAGTTTATCAAGTTCCCTTCCCTAGAGGAGGGATGATGGTTTTATAACCTCAGGGGTAGATGTCTAATCTGAAACCTGTGAGCAAGACAGTGAAATACAAAAGATTCCGCATGCAATCAATATTTTTGCTAAAAGGTTTTCTTCCTAGAACATATACGGCAACTGTGGACCTCCAAGGACACATAAATACCCGTACTCATCAGAGAAGCATCCCAAAGTTTTGGTATAGCCCTAACCTAAATATATCAAGACAATTTTTTCCTGGATCCAGAACTGTGTGCAGACACTTCTTTCTGCTGTTCGTGATAAAGAGTTGGCGGAAGCCTCGGCACTGCCGGTCAGAGGGCGATCTCCCGCTGACCGGAAGTTCTGGTATCGGAGGTAAGTATTGGAACATTTGGCCGAGTACGAGTACTTTCCCAAACACTCCTCGGTATCGTCACCAATACTAGTATCTGTGCATCACTAGCTAAAACCCATCATGATATTGATTGCTGCTGTTGGGGAGAATTCCCTTCACTTCCTTCTCTGGAGATGCAACAGGAAATCTCTACAAAATGAAAGTAATTTCCCCTCACCTCTTGCTGTGGTGACCACTCTAAATCTGGGTTTCCCATCATTTGTGACCATGGTCGCCAAGATAATTCGAGAGGATGAATCTCTCCATCTGAGACAGACGGCAATAGAAATATGACATAGGTTCTGAATCTTTCAAGCTCCATCCAAAACCAAATGTTTTGCTTATACATACACTTGGGTGCTGATTTATAAATGTGTAGTTGGGCGGATGACATTGGCACGCTACCCGTGCTTGCAGTCTTTTTACAAGTGATCTTGGCGACATCCCAGAGATCACTTGTAAAGAAACAAGTGGTTTCCTCTTTCTACATTTAGCCCTGATTGTGCAAAGCCGGGCTAAATGTAGAAAACAAATTACCGCCCGGAACTCCATGTTCCAGGCGTCGGGAGACTTCAAACCCTCTGCTCCCTGTTGCCCTAGGCCGGGCCTCAGTGACCTTGTCGGGAATCCGGCCCTGCCTGTCATATCTGACCCTGAGAGGAGGATGTATTCCTGTGCGCTCCCAGCATCCCGGCCCCGGTGACGCTGCACAATGTCTGAGGACGGTAGCTCACAGTTGGTTCAGCAAATGCTTCAATCCCATGCTGGGAGGTTTCGACAGCTTGGCCAAGTCCATAATCATTTCAATTTCCCTTTTTTTCCCCTTCTCTCGCAGGGTCCCCGATGGGTGGACGCAGACAGAGCGCCTCTCGGGCGATGAATCGGTGATCTTGACCTTCGCCCTCAAGCAGCAGAATGTGGAGAAGTTACGGGAGCTGGTGGGGAGAGTGTCTGACCCAGATTCACCCGAGTATGGTGAGTCAGCCCAGGAGGGGGAAGACTAATATGTCATTAACACACAACAACATTGCCCCCTCCCTCCTTGCTTGTTATAGGGCTCCTTTTGCTGGAGTGTCTAATTCCGGTCTGTACTGGCCCAGCTCCTTTGCCCCGCCCCTCACCTCCCTACATAACCTTTTATGTAGTTGGGAGCAGCGATAGTGAATATTATAGCGTGTCGCATGCTGGGACTGCTGAGTTGTTGGGCCTGCCATAACAATGGTGCCTGGAAAACCCAAGATTGCCATACCATTGGGCCCTGTGATGAGATGGTGGGGGGCTGCCATAATACATGGGCCTGGGAATACAAAGGATGGAAGACCACCATAACACTGGGGCCTGGGAATACGGAGGGTGGAGGACCACCATAACACTGGGGCCTGGGAATACTGAGGGTGGAGGACTGCCATAATACATGGGCCTGGAAATACAAAGGATGGAGGACCGCCATAACACTGAGGCCTGGGAATACTGAGGGTGGAGGACCACCATAACACTGGAGCCTGGGAATACTGAGGGTGGAGGACTGCCACAACACTGAGGCCTGGGAATACTGAGGGTGGAGGACTGCCACAACACTGGGGCCTGGGAATACTGAGGATGGAGGACCACCATAACACTGGAGCCTGGGAATACTGAGGGTGGAAGACCACTATAACACTGGAGCCTGGGAATACTGAGGGTGGAGGACCACCATAACACTGAGGCCTGGGAATACTGAGGGTGGAGGACTGCCATAACACTGAGGCCTGGGAATACTGAGGGTGGAGGACTGCCACAACACTGGGGCCTGGGAATACTGAGGGTGGAGGACCACCATAACACTGGAGCCTGGGAATACTGAGGGTGGAGGACCACCATAACACTGGAGCCTGGGAATACTGAGGGTGGAGGACCGCCATAACACTGAGGCCTGGGAATACTGAGGGTGGAGGACTGCCACAACACTGGGGCCTGGGAATACTGAGGGTGGAGGACCACCATAACACTGGGGCCTGGGAATACTGAGGGTGGAGGACCACCATAACACTGAGGCCTGGGAATACTGAGGGTGGAGGACTGCCACAACACTGAGGCCTGGGAATACTGAGGGTGGAGGACCACCGTAACACTGAGGCCTGGGAATACTGAGGGTGGAGGACCGCCGTGACACTGGGGCCTGGGAATACGGAGGGTGGAGGACTGCCATGACACTGGGGCCTGGGAATACTGAGGGTGGAGGACTGCCATGACACTGAGGCCTGGGAATACTGAGGGAGGAGGGGACTGCCATGACACTGAGGCCTGGGAATACTGAGGGAGGAGGGGACTGCCATGACACTGAGGCCTGGGAATACTGAGGGAGGAGGGGACTGCCATGACACTGAGGCCTGGGAATACTGAGGGAGGAGGGGACTGCCATGACACTGAGGCCTGGGAATACTGAGGGAGGAGGGGACTGCCATGACACTGAGGCCTGGGAATACTGAGGGAGGAGGGGACTGCCATGACACTGAGGCCTGGGAATACTGAGGGAGGAGGGGACTGCCATGACACTGAGGCCTGGGAATACTGAGGGAGGAGGGGACTGCCATGACACTGAGGCCTGGGAATACTGAGGGAGGAGGGGACTGCCATGACACTGAGGCCTGGGAATACTGAGGGAGGAGGGGACTGCCATGACACTGAGGCCTGGGAATACTGAGGGAGGAGGGGACTGCCATGACACTGAGGCCTGGGAATACTGAGGGAGGAGGGGACTGCCATGACACTGAGGCCTGGGAATACTGAGGGAGGAGGGGACTGCCATGACACTGAGGCCTGGGAATACTGAGGGAGGAGGGGACTGCCATGACACTGAGGCCTGGGAATACTGAGGGAGGAGGGGACTGCCATGACACTGAGGCCTGGGAATACTGAGGGAGGAGGGGACTGCCATGACACTGAGGCCTGGGAATACTGAGGGAGGAGGGGACTGCCATGACACTGAGGCCTGGGAATACTGAGGGAGGAGGGGACTGCCATGACACTGAGGCCTGGGAATACTGAGGGAGGAGGGGACTGCCATGACACTGAGGCCTGGGAATACTGAGGGAGGAGGGGACTGCCATGACACTGAGGCCTGGGAATACTGAGGGAGGAGGGGACTGCCATGACACTGAGGCCTGGGAATACTGAGGGAGGAGGGGACTGCCATGACACTGAGGCCTGGGAATACTGAGGGAGGAGGGGACTGCCATGACACTGAGGCCTGGGAATACTGAGGGAGGAGGGGACTGCCATGACACTGAGGCCTGGGAATACTGAGGGAGGAGGGGACTGCCATGACACTGAGGCCTGGGAATACTGAGGGTGGAGGGGACTGCCATGACACAGAGGTCCATCAGTAATATGGGAACCCCCCCTCCCCCCGGTGTATTTGGAGGGTCTGTTCATTATTCTGTCTCCCTCTTTAGGTCACTTCCTATCCCTGGAGGATCTTAGCGCTCTGGTGCGCCCCTCTCTGGATACGTTGCGAACAGTCCGGACCTGGCTGGGGAAACATGGCGTCCAGCAGTGTGACGGCGTGCAGACCGGAGACTTCCTGCAGTGCGAGATGCCAGTCAGGTGAGTTGTGATGAGGTGTGTCCCCTACAGGCTGGACAACAATACCCCTCCACCCTCATACAACGCAGGGGTGTCCTAGTGAGGTGAGTCTCCCTACAGGCTGGACAACAATACCCCTCCACCCTCATACAACGCAGGGTGTCCTAGTGAGGTTTTTTTCGGTCTCCACTCTCTTATTTCTGCTGTGTTGGGTTCGGGAACTTCCCGTCGGCCCCTCTGGAGTTTCACTTCCTATGAAGTCCGCTGCGTCCAGAGATGTTACTCAATCCGTCGTTCCTGTTGTGACCCACCAGTCACGTCGGGGCTTTCCGAGTTTCTTTTCCCCAGTTTGTTACTGGTCACCTGACCCTGCGGCTGTCTGAAGTCTCGGAGGTCCTCCGTCTGTCTGGCCTCATTGCGACCACGTGAACGAAGCGTTCGTGTTGACCTTTAGTGGTCCAATTTGACATTTTTTTGGAGAGTAGAAGATCTTCCCCTGGAGCAGTTAATGTGTTCAGAGTGTCAGGATGGCGATCACATTCCTCTGAGCCAGGCGGACGCGCAGGTCGGGTGAGCGCAGGGCGGCGTACGGACGCGTAGTCCCATAGAGAAGGACGGGGGCTGCGTACTAATCCCACGCAACACCTGTCCTTCCCGGGAGCTCCCCGATACGGCCGCGCACGGAGCTGTACGGGCCGGCCGTTACCCATGTGACTGAGGGCTCAGAGATAGCCAGCTACTTGTCTGGGATTGCCGAGCTACTTGTCTGGGATTGCCAGACATCCCTAAAGGTCCCCACACATCGTACGATAATGGCGGGGAAATCCCGCGATCGTACGATTATCGTAAGGTGCGTGGAAGCCGTGCGACCTCTACTACTGTAAGGTCGCACGACTTTAAACTTACGCACATGTTTCAAAACCCGCCGAGCATCGTACGACGTTCGGCGGGTGTGTAGCATGTTCGTGAGGTAAAAGCCGGACTGCCCGTTCGGCATTGCGATCATCGGAAGCCCGCCCCTCGGGGCGTGGCTTGCGATCATCGCAAGTACGATCTGCCTATGCAAGATGGGCAGATCGTACGTTTTTTAAGTACCTTACAGCCATCGCAAGACAAAAGTCTTGCGATGGTTGTAAGGTGTGCCCCCAGCCATAGACGGATATCTCATTAAAGGAGAACTATGAGGTGAGTGATTTTCACTCCTCCTCATAGTTCTAGCCGACCTGCAACAATGAGACTGTCACAGGTCGGCTCAGTAGATCGGGAGGTGAGCGAACACATACCGGCGTTCGCTCACCTTCCGATCCTGTCACTAGTTTCTCTGCTGGATTCCCCCCTCCCCGCTCCGATCCTCCAGCGCTGACTGGCGGGAACGGACGGGGGAGGGGGCGGGTACAGCTGGCTCTGCCTCTAGATAGGCAGAGCCAGCTGTCACTCAGGCAGCTGGGCGGATCCCGTCATCTACGTCGGGATCCGCTCCGGCGTCTCAGTATACAATGAGCTGTAGCTCGCGGTATACTGAGCTTTGGGTAACGGGAGGACGCTAGTTTGTGTCCTCCCGTTACCCTAAGGAGAACTATGGGGAAAAACACTGACCCTATAATTTTTCCTTTAAGACATTGGGGTGTCGATCGTTTGAGGAGAGAAGAAAATAAAATATCTTTCTACATACCGGCACAGGTGACCCCCCCACATCTGCGCAGGTACCCACACAGGCAGACCAAACACGTGTAAACACACGGACCAGGCAAGTAGGGTGTATATATAAATATTTTAATAAACATAGCAAACTAACAGAAACAATCCACAGGCATAAACCAATCATGTGAATGACAGTTCAGCGTCCGCAGGTCATTTGGGGATGCTGATCTGCCATTACAACTGGGCGGAGCCAGCTGTGATATCACGACTGGCTCCGCCCAGCTGTCATTTGCGGGGTTTACGGCCGGCCTTCGGCAGGCCGTTCGCCCCGCTTCGGGTGTCACTTCGGCTTGGCTGAGCCGCTCAGCCGCCTTTCGCTGCTGTACGGGCTATTGTGAACCGAAGGGCCTCGGCAGCCGAAGAGAGCCAAAGGATCAGCTGAAGCTACGGCTGGATTCCTCGGCTCCTTCGTGAATAACCCCCTAAGACTATGACAACACAGTAACGCAGGGATACCGGCACAGGTGACCCCACACCTGCGCAGGTACCCACACAGGCAGACCAAACACGGACCAGGCAAGTATAGTATATATAAATATTTTTAATAAACCTAGCAAACTAACAGAAACAATCCACAACAGGTATAAACCAATAATGTGACCCCTGACACCTAGAACATACAACCGGTGTAACAACACAGGAGACAGGGTACAAGATAGCATACAGGTATCGGGGTTCAGGACAGAGGACGAAGGCAACGGAATCCTAAGCCAAGGTCCAGAGTACTGCAGGGAGGGTTTAAATACCCTCCCAGGAAGCAATAGGTAATTGGCTGATTCCAGGCAGCTGGGAGACACCCGCAGGTGAGCACTGGAGCTGCAGGTTCTAGCACCACCCAGTGGCGGTCTGGTACCTAGCAGTTCCTAGCTGCCTGGAGACACCTGCAGGTGAGCCCAGGAACTGCAGGTACCGGCTCCAGCGTCACCTGGATCCTGACCATACCAATGAGGATGATGTCATTGGTACTACGGTTACTTTTAACTCCTCCATGCTTATTGCAGACATTATATTATAATAATGAACATGATAAACATTTGTAATGTAGATCATACCATATTCATAGAATACACCGGTATGTGTCGCTTAGTAAAACCAACTTATAGATGTTTTTTACATTTTTCTTTTGTATTCTATATCATTTAAAAAAAAAAAATATATTATTTACTGTATGTCTCGGGCATCAGGCAACAGGAATCCCTGCCGCCCCGAGGCCGGTCCTCGGTTGGCCTTGTGGTATATCCAGCCCTGTATACATATAGAATATTGCATTCTAAAAACAAAATGACTCCATTAAGCAAATATTTCTATACCTCCTGCAATATTTATAATCCAATTGACATTATTAGTTCTACCGATTTTTTTTTTTTTCCTATCAAATCGGAATACTAAATAATGGGTAACATTCAATGTGAACTCCAAAAGAGAGAGAAAGGAAAGATAAATATGATGGTGAATAGTTTTGTCCTTTTTGTTAAGCCTGAGACACGGAATCTCCATTCATCTCACAGACTGGTACCATGGTCGGTCTTTATCTGGTCATTGTCTGGTCCAACTGGACCCCCCAAAATGTATAATCTGGGAATCTGTGATGATAGAAGTCGGGGAATGGCTGATGTTAGAATGTCTTAAATCTATGAACTGAAATTCAGGTTTTTATACAGAATGACAGGACAACAGGCTTCCGGTGTGCCCGCGTTACATAATGTATAGATGATGGGTTCGAGTCTCGCAGTTTCTTCCTTTTTAGCGCTAAATAATTCCGACCAACCTTGCGGACCGCCCTCGCCCCATTTCTCACCCTCCTCCTGTCGTCTTCTATCACGCAGTACCGCAGAGGTTTTGCTCCCTGGGGCGAAGTTCCACCGTTACGTGAATGGAGACAGCAGCGTGGTCAGATCCGCCACCCGCTACTCGCTGACCCCGGAATTGGCTGAACACATAGACTTTGGTGAGTTGTGGATTGGCGGTCTGGTAGAAATGACATTGGGCTCGTGGATGGGGAGTTCAACAGGACCCCATTAGTTCACAATCCCTGAGGGCGGACATCTTCAGTGAGGACGGGGACAGGAATTGCACACAACCAACCAACAAACCAGCCAACCAACCAACACCTCATCGCTTTCTGCATTGCTGGAGGAGAGGACACGGGGACTCTGAATGTCTTGTAATTCCTGGTTGGCTACATGGCTGCGTGCCTCACTGTCCACCAGCAATGCCCACTCCCCTGAGGAACACCAGGAGCCTCCCTGACATGCTCCTTAAACCTAGAATCACGGTACAGGAAGTATAGACACCCCCCATCCTTGTACAAAGAGGACAGACACCCCCCCCATTACTGTACAAAGAGCACCCAACTCCTCCATCATTCTACAGAGAGGACGGACAGCCCCCACCCCCCGTCCCTGTACAGAGAGGATAGCGGACACCCGCGT